CCGCGCGAGCTCTTGCGAAATTTTTATAAAACCATAGGTTTTTCAAGATTTTCACAACATGCTATTAAACGGGCTTCGCGAGCGCGCATGTCGAAATCTGTCGAACGCCCTTGCGCGTGTGCCGTCGCGAGAATCCTCTGCTAACAATGGGACGAAGTGCAATCGCGCGCGTCGTCGCGCGCGCATGCCGAAAACCTTCAAAACCTTCGGTTGCGGAAGGATTTCAAAATCGGGTGTCCAAACAACCTACAAAAACACAAGGTTTCGCAACACGGATTTTCAACAAAAAGCGTGCGCGCGCGCTTTTGCGTCGTCGTCGTCGTCCTCCCTCCTCCCTCGTCGTCGTCGTCGTCGTCGTCGCCGTCGTCGTCTTCTGTCTTTCCTCGTCGTCGTCGTCGTCGTCGTCGTCGTCTTGGCGTCTTCATCGCTTCCGTCGTCGTTGTCGCCGTGGTCGTCTTTCCTCCCTCGTCGTCTTCGTCGGCGTTTCGTCGTTGTCCCTCCCATTTCGTCGCCGTCGTCGTCGTCGTCGTCGTCGTCGTCTTCACTCCTCCCTCGTCGTCGTCCTCCTCCCTCGTCGTCGTCATCGTTGTCCGTCGTCGGCGTCTCGTCGTCGTCCCTCCTAGTTCGTCGCCGTCGTCGTCTTCGTCGTCGTCGTCTTCCCTCCTCCCTCGTCGTTGTCGTCGTCGGCGTCGCCGTCCTTCCTTCTTCGTCGTTCGCGTCGTCGCCGTCTTCCCTCCTCCATCGTCGTTGTCGTCGTTGTCGCCGTCGTCGTCCTCCCTTCTCCCTCGTCGTCGTCTTCGTTCGCGACGTCGTCGTCGTCTTTGTCGTCGTCGTCGTCTTTGCGTCGTCGTCGTCTTCGTCGACGTCGACGTCGGCGGTGTCGTCGTAGTCGGTGTCGGCGGCGCCGTCGTCGCCGTTGTCGCTGTCGTCGTCGGCGTCGGTGTCGTGGCCAAGTGCCATGTGGTACCTACCGTCACGGTCTTGTCTTAAGAAGTCTTGCGACCAAGTTGCGGGCGGGTGGGTGGGATGTTTGCACGAGCAGTGGAGGTGGTCAGGCGCGGTGCAGGGTAGCCAATTGCACTACGTAGATGGCACCGCATAGATTGCACCGCGTAGATTGCATTACATAGGTTGCACCGCGTATATTTTCCTTTCTAAAAACAGAACAGGATCTACCCCCCCCGGCGTTATCGGCCCCCCTTTCGGGTATGTAAACCATATGTGATTCTGACCACGTGTCCATCCGAAATATGAATTTACACTATCCCAGGCCAGCCGGGTTCCCCCCCCCTGAGGTTCCTTTGTAAAACGCACTATGCGGTGACATTTTTGTTCTAACATAACACTTTTTCACGAATCCCTTGCAAAAAAGGGGACGAAGTGCACACGCGCGCGTCGTCGCGCGCGCATGCCGAAATCCTTCAAAAACCTTCGGTGCCAGAAGGATTTCGCAATCGAGTTTCCCCAACACATACAAAAGCACAGGGTTTCGCAACACTGATTTGCGAAAAAAGCTTACGCGCGAGCTCTTGCGAAATCTTAAGACAACCATAGCTTTTCCAAGACTTTCACACAATGCTACCAAACGGGCTTCGCGAGCGCGCATGTCGAAATCTGTCGAACGCCCTTGCGCGTGTGCCGTCGCGAGAATCCTTTGCAAAACATGGGACGAAGTGCAGACGCGCGCGTCGTCGCGCGCGTATGCCGAAATTCTTCAAAAACCTTCGGTTTTTGAAGGATTTCAAAATCGTGTGTCCAAAGAACCTACAAACACCCAAGGTTTCGCAACACGGATTTTCAACAAAAGCGTGCGCGCGCGCTCTTGCGTCGTCGTCGTCGTCCTCCCTCCTTCCTCGTCGTCGTCGTCGTCGTCGCCGTCGCCGTCGTCGTCTTCTGTCTTTCCTCGTCGTCGTCGTCGTCGTCGTCGTCTTGGCGTCGTCGTCGCTTCCGTCGTCGTTGTCGCCGTGGTCGTCCTTCCTCCCTCGTCGTCTTCGTCGGCGTTTCGTCATTGTCCCTTCTATTTCGTCGCCGTCGTCGTCGTCGTCGTCGTCTTCACTCCTCCCTCGTCGTCGTCATCCTCCCTCGTCGTCGTCGTCGTCCGTCGTCGGCGTCTCGTCGTCGTCCCTCCTATTTCGTCGCCTTCGTCGTCGTCTTCGTCGTCGTTGTCGTCGTCGTCTTCCCTCCTCCCTCGTCGTTGTCGTCGTCGGTGTCGCCGTCCTTCATCCTTCGTCGTTCGCGTCCTCGCCGTCTTCCCTCCTCCATCGTCGTTGTCGTCGTTGTCGCCGTCGTCGTCCTCTCTCCTCCCTCGTCTTCGTTGGCGACGTCGTCGTCGTCGTCGTCGTCGGCGTCGGCGTCGTCGTCGTCGTCGTCGACGTCGGCGGTGTCGTCGCAGTCGGTGTCGACGGCGCCGTCGTCGTCGTTGTCGCTGTCGTCGTCCGCGTCGGTGTCGTGGCCAAGTGCCATGTGGTACCTACCGTCACGGTCTTGTCTTAAGAGGTTTTGCAACCAAGTTGTGGGTGGGAGGGTGGGATGTTTGCACGAGCAGTAGAGAGGACAGCTTCAGGACGGTCAAATATTAATTGCACCACATAGTTTGCACCGCATAGACAGCAATAACCTACTGTTTGGGGTCCACGCTGGCTATTATTATAAATATAGCCAATTAGAAAAAAGGGGTTCTCAGAAATCCCGATCCTTTCCCCAGGGCCATTTGTTTCTCCCGGGTAGTTGTTTGACGGTGCTGGGGCCCAGCGAGGATCCTTGGACGCCGAGAACGACGAAGACAACCCCCGCCTTAATTTTTTCAATGCGTTGGCGGTCTGGGTTTAAGTTGGGCATGTCCCTCTACAGGAGGAATATTCAGAAATAGTCAAAAGTAGTAAGGGGACGTGTCTTTTTGTTTTTTCTTAGGGGTGGGGGAGGTTTGGGCGACTATTTTCGACTAATTTTGAATATTGCTGGCTATTTTGAATGTTTGTTCCAAAGCGCGCCTGTTGGAGGACATGCTCGACCTAAGTCTGGGTACGCTGCCTGCGACGTTGACACGCGCACGTCGGCGCTGACACAACTCTCTGAGGATCCTTGATCGGCCAGAAGGCCATGCGCACAGAGGCCCTGTTGCTCGTCGTGTGACATCTGACCCCGAACCAAACCTCTGGGTCGGTTTTGGAGGTCGCCGCGGCGATCGCGGCGGCCGCACATGGGGGCAAGGGTCTTGTCAAAGGAGTGGCATGCCGTTTCCGAGCCCTCCCCCGCTCTGTGATGTAGACGTGCAGAGAGTTAGAGGCGGCAGGGGGGTCTGAATTGGATGCGCCCTGAGGAAATCGGTCAAGATGGGAGGATGAGGGCAAATCCGTCAAAATCGGTCCCTGGACCCCTCCCAGGGTCGATCTGGTGCAGTTTGTCACCCTGGATCCGTTTTTGGCAGTCCTGGGGGCCAGGAAGCGGTCCCTGGAGGCCGAAGCAGGAAAGACACTTCCCGACCCCAGACCCTCGAACCTCGCCCCCCGCTGTCTGCCTGCCGGAGCCAGTGTTGGGCCACCTCAGGCCCTCAGCCGGTCCCGAACCGAGTGTTTTTCGGGTCAGAGGTCGATTATCGCGCAGCCGCTCTCTGAGGATGCTGAGTCCGCGCGGAGTGAATTCGTATGGAGTGCTCGGTCTCCGTCCAGGCCGACTCCGTCTGGACTCCGCCTCCCCTGATAGGATACCAAGTCCGTGCGGAGTAGGTCTCCACGGACTAGTCGGTCTCCGTCCAGCCTGACCCCGTCTGGATTTGGCTCCTCCAAACCCAGACGTGCGACGTCCTGATTTTTTCAATGCTGGGTCTCTGGAAGCCCCGACCCCTTCCCCGGGACCAGCTTTTCATCCCGAATCGTGTTTTGACGGTCCCGAGGCCTGCTTAGGGCCTCCTGAGGCCGAAGACGGCCGAAAACCTCCCGTCCCGATTCTTGCACGCCTCGATCCCGTCTTGGGCCTGATCGGAGGGCACCAACTATACACCAACACCGATCCTGGCCCAGGATCACCCTGGGCCCAGGATCGGTGTATATGCCTTCTTGCGCAAGGCAGGAGGGCGTATACACCGATCCTGGGCCCAGGGTGATCCTGGCCACCCAGACCCCCGACGTCATGATTTTTTCATGACGCGACCCCCGGAGGTCTGGACCCATTCCCCGGGACCGGTTTCTCATCCCGAGTCGTTTTTTGACGGTCCTGAGGGCCGGTAAGGGCCCCCGGAGGCCGAAGATAGCGAAAAACCTCCCGTCGTGATTTTTTCATTACTCGAGGGGGTCTGGGCAGGATCGGTGTTGGTGTATAGTTGGTGCCTCCGAAGCCCGGACTCGGCCCCTCCGAGCGCTCTGCGGCCCAGCCACGGAGGGGCTCCGGGAGACTCCGCCTCTGCCCGTGGCCCCTCGAGGCGGCTGCCGCGATGGAAGGGTCACAGGTGCCACCGGTGCTCCATGGAGTATTCGCTCGCGTGGTTGTGCATGGAGTTGGGGCTCTCGCGCGCGCAAACGGCCGAAAACCTCCCGTCCCGATTCTTGTACGCCTCGATCCCGCCTTGGGCCCGACCCCGCCGGGACTCGGCCCCTCCGAGCGGCTGCGGCCCAGCCACGGAGGGGCTCCAGGAGACTCCGCCTCTGCCTGTGGCCCCTCGAGGCGGCTGCCGCGATGGAAGGGTCGCAGGTGCCACCGGTGTTCCATGGAGTGCTCGCTTCCCAGACCCCCTTGAGTAATGAAAAAATCACGACGGGAGGTTTTTCGCTATTTTCGGCCTCCGGGCCTCGGGAGCGTCAAAAAACGACTCAGGGTGCAAAGCCGGTCATGGGGAAAGGGTCGGGACCTCTGGGGGTCGACGTAATGAAAAAATCATTACGTCGGGGGTCTGGGTGGCGTGGTTGTTCATGGAGTTGGGGCTCTCGCGCGCGCCGCTGAAAACTAGCAAATCCGCCACGGAGCGGTGCTGGGGAGCGCGGGCGGCCCTGCGTGCCCTCCCCCAGGAGCGCCGGCCCGCCACCCTGCTCGGGCTCCTCCGCTGCCCGGTGCGCGGCGGCGCGGGCGGCGGCGGCCTCCAGCCCGCGTTCGGCCAGGACCCTCCTCCGCCTCCGCCTCCGCCTCCGGGATGAAAGCCGCAAGCGACTCCCGGGCCTTCACGATGAACCCGGCAGCCTCCCAGGATCAAGTAGCATGCGATGGAGGATGAGGGGGGGAGGGGGGAGGACCCTCTCTCTCGAGGGACCGTCAAGAGACGGCTCAGGACGAAGAACCGGTCCCGGGGGCTCGGGTCGCGGGAAAGGTACGGCGGCTTCCGCTCGTCTTGGATATCGGGGGCGGCAGAGAAGGGGGTGATGGCCAGGGGGGGGGTGGACATCATGGCGGGGGCCTGGATGTTTCCCCAGATTTTATGGTGCCTCTTCTTGTTTCATTGCGTCCCTGGCCCCCCCGCTGGGCCGCGCACGTGCCGCTGGTCATGATTTGTACCCCCCCCTCTTGGACACCCCCCTCTTGGCCGCTCCCGATGGATAGAACATGTCTCGGCGAAGAGCGCCCCATAGCTCTCAAGAGCGCCAAGCCGCGCCCAAGAGCGCCCAGCAGCGCCGAACAGCGTTCAAGTGGCGCCCAATAGCGACCAACATCGCCCCATCGCGGCCTGTGAGGGAGATGCATCATGTCCGCTTTGCGCCCGATGGGGGGCACGATTGGGCGCCATAGGGATGACCAAAAGCTTCCTCGAGGTGCTTGCTGATGACGGACGTTCTTTCCCGCCACTGGGCGCCGGCGGTAAACCGTCAACCCGGTTACCGCCGGGGACCTCGCAGAGCTCCTGGCCGTAGTTTTGACTGCGATGCGTGGGACCGAGCACGCTCACAACTCGAGTTCGCATCGAACGCGCACCCCGGACACGCACGCGCACACGGAGGTTTTGATCCCGACCGCTGGTGTCGCACGTTCTTTCCCGCGCTTTGTGGCCTGTGGCCTGGTGGGCTCTGATCTTCGGGTCGCCCGCTCGTGGCCGCGGCTCGCCCGGGCCAGAGCAGCCCTCTCGTTTGCTCCTCCGCGTGCACTCTGGCAGCGCGGGGATTGTATATAATCCTTCGGCGGCGAGCGAGGGGGGGAAATGAGAAGGAGAAGACCTCCTCAGAAGGCGGCGGGACTTCTCAGAATGCCTCCGGCCTTCTGAGATTTTTTTCTGTCTTCGGGGAAGGCTTGGAAGCCCTCTCAGGAGTCCCTGGAACTTCCGAGCCTTCTGGGAAGGCCTTCTCTTCTCACTTTCCCCCCGGGCGCGCCGCCTAACCTTCTCTGGCTTCGCCACGGGGGCGCATGCGCCCATCCCAGGTCACGGACTGGTCTGGCCAGGGTAGGCGGGTGTGGACGGTTGGCGCCGTCCTGGCGCTCGCGAGGTAGGATTTTGTGCTCCGCGAGGAGCTCACGTGGAGGGTGATCAGCGAGATCGCAGGCGCCGTGGCGCTGTTGTGCTGCATGCGGGACTGCAAGGACTGCATCATACAGCAGACCACCCGAGAGGCCAATTCGCAGCCGGGGGGTCGCCTGCCTCAATCCTCCAAACTCCGCCCTCCTGGTACCCTCCATCTCCCTTCCCTCCCCTCCCTCCCTCCATCTCCTCTTCCTTCAGCGCCCCTCCTCCTCTCCTCGCCCTCCTTTCCCCCTCCGCTCTTCATCATCCCCTCCCTCCCTCCTCCCGCTCCTCCTCCCTCTCTTCTCTCGCCCTCTGGCCTTGTCTCTCCCCTCTCGTCCTCAGTTCTTCTATCATTTCCTCCTCTTCTCCCTCCTCCAGTTCTCTACGCCCTTTTTTACCGCCCTACACCTTCGTCGCCGTTGCTGCCGTCGCTTTCCTGCTCTCGTAGTCGTCGTCGTCGTCCTCCTCCTCCTCCTTCTCCTCTCTCTTCTCGCCATCTCTCTCTTTCTCTCTTACTTTCCCTCTTTCCCTCTCTCCCTCGCTCCCTCTCTCCCTCCCCTCCCTCTCTCTCCAGTCTCGGTTCGAGGGTCTCTCTCCCAGCGCGCAGCCCGGACACGAATCACCAAGTACTTCCGTGAATCGCATCGCGAGACTGGGCGCACGGCATCACAGCGTGTGACTGATCGTGTCAGAACCCCTTCAGTATCTGCGCGCGCGCCGTGGCTCCGAGAGGTCCTCGCCTCGCGCCCCCTGCACCACGGCAGCCCAAACCACCAGGAAAAGGCCGCCAACAGGCAACCTCACCCGACAGCAACACGTCCCGAAAGGAAGCCGGCGTCGCCTCCCTGCACGGAGCAGTGGTGGCGTCGACTGCCCAGCGTGTCTCGACCGCTTTCTCGGGACCGGCCTTGCATCGCACCGCATCGCTTCGCCAGCGGCGCGAGAGCTGTCCGGGACTATCATGGGGCGCCTTCATGCCTCGTGGCAGGAACCTGGACGCCTGCTGTTAAAAACAGGGGCCGAAACAAAAAGTGGTTCCATCATGGCCAAATCCATTAGCTTGTGTTCTGGAAAGGGGTTTTGCAGCAGCACACAGGGTGCCACGTGGCCAGTGCCCTCGTCCCCTTCAGCGGCTTACGGCCTGCCTCGGTGGGAGAGGGCCTCCAGTTTTTTTCGTTGTTAACCTCTCTCCTTTTCCTTCTTTTCTTTTTTGCGACGACATGGGAGCCATGAGTCGTCACGGCACTTTGGTAGTCTTGCTGATGGACATCACCACGGGTGGGCTCGTCGGCCGCCCCGTGCGAATTGACGCCACGTGCAGCACTGCCTTCGAGCCGACACGCAGTGTCAACATGTCAGCAAACGTGGACATCAAACAGTGCGTTCTACCATACGATGTCGTGCAATGTATATGCATATACAGATGTATATATATATATATATACATGGTTCAAGCTGTGTGATGCAATATACGAGGTGTGAATAATGTGGGGCAATCTAGGCGGTACAAGCTATGTGGTACAATCTCTGTGGTGTGACCTATGTGGCGCAGTCTATGTGGTGCAGAAATGTGGCGTGAACTATGTACTGCGATCTATCTGTTGCGAGCTACGTTGTGCAATCTATGTGGTGCACTGAGTGTGGTGCTATCTATACGGTGCAACCTATGTAGTGCAACCCCTTTGCTGTCAGCTATGTGGTGCAGACAAAGCAATGGACATCAATGTAAACCAACGCGAAGCAACGCGAAGACAACAACGTACATCAATTGAATGCAATGTAAAGCATCGCAAAGCAATGCGAAGTAGCGCAGGCCCAGACGGCGATGGGGCGGCGACGGCGATCACATAGCCGCCAAACCGATGGGCAGGTCCAAAAGACGGGCGGCAACGAGGCGGCGACGGGGCGGCGACGGCGACTTCCTAGCGGTCAGACCGACGGGCAGGCATAGTTCCGCAGAAAAGCAGTAAGAACCTCGGAGTGCAAGCGCTGTATGGGGAATCTGGGCTGTCTCACCATCCCGAGTCTTTTTTTGACGGTCCCGGGGCCCAGCGATGCCCCCCAGTAGCCGAAGCTGGTCAGCACCGTTCCGTTGTGATTTTTCTCGTGGCGCGGGCGGGGTCTGGGCTCGAGGGGCGAACATCGACCTCGGAACCCCTCCTGGGGGTGCGCTCTGGCCAGAACTCCGATGCGGACCAAGCCGTGGCGACGAGGGCGCCCCAGGCCCATGAGCGGCCCGAACGATCTCGAGCCTCGAGCCTCGAGCCTCGCGACGCGAGGGGGTCCGTGGCCGCCGCCGAGGCCAGTCGCATCTGGGGCTCCGCGCTGCTCCACGGGAAGTCGCTGTTCTCCCTCGCCAACGGGCCCTCCAGCCAGCAGTGGCTCCGGAAGGCGATCGTCGGCCACCAGCCGCCGCGGTCGGACGGCCCCCCCCCAGGGCAAGAGGGTCTTTGCTGTCGCCGCCGGCGCCAACGTCGTCGTCTTCGTTGTCGTCGTCGTCGTCATCATCGTCGTCTTTTTTTCCTTCTCCTTCTTCGTCGTCGTCGTCGTCATCGTCGTTGTCGTCGTCTTCGTCGTCGTCATCGTTCACGTCGTCGTCGTCGTCGATATCGTCGCCGTCGCCGTCGCCGTCGCCGTCGTTATCGTCGTCGTCGTCGGCGCCGAAAGGGTAGCGGCTGAGCCAAGCAGGCTTCCAACCGAGCCGGGCAGCGGACAGAGTCACCACCCACCAAACCACCCCAACCCAACCCGAAGGCCCAAATTTATCCTCGATTTCCAGTTGGGGGGGGTCGTGGAACATCGAGAAAACACATATGGAACCCGTACTCCCCCCAACCCGAAATTCGGGTCTTCGGGTTGGGTTGGGGTGGTCTGGTAGGTAGTCACAGAGAAGCGGCGCCTCGATGGGTTCCCTGCCAGCATCTTCTGCCCGCGGATGCGGCCCCGTGCGTCGGGCGTCGTGCCCTCTGCCGCGGCGTGGGCTCCCTCCTTCTCCTCCTCCTCCTCCTCCTCCTCCTCCTCCTCCTCCTCCTCCTCCTCCTCCCCTCTCCTCCTCCTCCTCCTCCTCCTCCTCCTCCTCCTCCTCCTCCTCCTCCTCCTCCTCCTCCTCCTCCTCCTCCTCCTCCTCCTCCTCCCTCCTCCTCCTCCTCCTCCTCCTCCTCCTCCTCCTCCTCCTCCTCCTCCTCCTCCTCCTCCTCCTCCTCCTCCTCCTCCTCCTTCTCCCCCTCCCGCCCCCGTCCCCAGGGCGGGCTTCCCGCCGCGGCTCCTCTGCGACCGCACGCGAACCCTGCCCCCTGCGGGTCCAGCCGACGATTGGGGTATCTCGGATACCCCCGCTGGGGTCCACCTGGCCGCAGACTAATTCCAGTTCTAAGTCGGGCATGCCCTTCTACAGGGGGAGTATTCAAGAATGGTCGGAAGATAGTCAGGGGACGTGTTCTGATCATTTTTTTGGCCATGTTTGAATATTTGTTGAATTTGTTTTCCAGCTTTCGTCCAACATCCGCCTGTCGGAGGACATTGCCGACCTAATTCAAGTTTCGGGCCCTGGCCAGTTTTTTTCGTCCTCTCTCAGAAGATCTG